CCCCCCCCCCCCCCTCCCAGCTGAGTGTTCTGTTCTTTTTATTCCTAAAGTCAAGGTTTGAATGCAGGTGCCCTGGACAAATTCCAGTTTGGGTTTTTCCCTTCTGCTTCCCAAAATCCTACAAGTGTGTTTCAGAGCTGGGCAAGGGGTCCCTGTGTGACCAGCTGCTCTGTGGTGCCAGGGGAGGGCCCCTGTACTAACTCAGTGTGAAAGGGACTGAGGCAAGTTGCTCTGCAGCTCATACAATGGCTTCATGGGACGTCACATTTTGTGTCAGTTGCACCCTAGGACCTGGGATAATTGCACCTGGGTTTGATGCCTTTTGCAAGCGACTTGGAGCCCTGGACAGCTGGAAGGTGCCAAGTAAAGAAACCCACAGCCTGAAAATAACATGGTGAAATGCTGCCACAGCCACTTGCCTCACAGAGCCCAGGAACTTGCACCCCATCCCTGGCACCAGCCAGCAACAAATGTCAACAGCAAATTGTCTCCCTTAATGGCAGGCAGGACTGGCCCTAGGGCAGCGCTAAGGGGCGCTGTGGGGTAGCAAGCAGGGTTGGGGCTCAGCAGGGGGCGCTTTCCTCCAGCAGGCAGGGGCTAGCCCAGGGCAGGGCTAGGGGGCGCTGTGGGGCAGGGAGTGGGATGTGAGCTCAGCAGGGGGTGCCCTCCCCCCACAGTCAGGGCTTGTCCAGGGCAGGGCTAGGGGGCACTGTGAGGCAGGGAGTGGGGTGGGAGCTCAGCAGGGGGCACTCTGCCATGGCAGGCAGGGCTGACCACAGTGTCTAGTAACACAGCCTGAATTCAGAACACCATGTTCAGGGCATCTCAAAGTTTGTACCTACTAATGCCCCATCCATCCCTATTGCTGGAAAGGCATCACTTCACCCCAACACACAGGGAAAACTGAGGCATGATGTGGGGGATACAGACACTTTAATCCTGAAAGCCCTCTGGGCTGGGTGGGTTTGGGAGTGAATCAGGAAATAGAACAAATCTAATCAAGATACAGAAGATTTTATAGCGAGGTGTGTGCATGTGTGTGCACATGATGTTGTAAGTTCAAGTGGTGTGTGTTTGCACAATAAGTATGTATGTGTGAGTAGCTGCAAAGCATTGTGTGTGTGTTTGTCTATAGTAGGCATGTTTGCAAAGAAGTGTGCGGGTTATAGTTTTGGGGGTGTAGTGGAGTATGCGGAAATGTAGTGAAGGATTGTGTAATGATGTGAGGGTGGTTGTATTGTATAGCGGTGGGGGGTTTGAGTTGTGGGGTTTATGTGTAGCAGGGTGTATGTAGTGGTGTGGGGGTTGTGTAGCAGGTTATGTTTAGTGGGTGAGTGTACAGCAAGTGTGTGTAGTGCTGATGTGTAGCAGAATATGTGTGTAGGGTTGTGTAGCTGGGTGTATATAGTGGGTTGTGTATGTAGCAGTGTGTGTGGAGCAGGTAGCAGGATCGTGGAGTAGTGTGTTGGTGTGGAGCAGTGTTGTATAGCAGGGTGTCTGCATAGCCAGGTATGTGGTGGTTCTGTAGCTTGCCGTGTATCAGGATGTGTAGCAGTTTGTGTGTGTAACAGGTTGTGGAGTAGGTTGTATATAGCAGTGTGTGTGTGTGTGTGTGTGTGTGTGTGCGCGCGCGCAGCAGGATGTGTGCATGGCAGTGGTGGTGTTGTGGACCAGGATTGTGGAGCAGTGTGTGTTTAGCAGAGCGTGTGTGTTGTGGGTTGCATAGTAGGGTGTGTCTAGTGGGGATGTGTTGGGGTTATGGAGTGGTGTGTTTGTGTGTTTAGCAGTGTATGTGTGTGTAGTCTGATACTATTTAGCAGGTTTGTGGGGGTTGTATAGTGGGTTCTGAAGTGGGGATGTAGTGGTGTGTATGTAGCAGGGTGTGGGGGGAGTGTAATGGGTTGTGTATGGGGATGCAGCACATTATGTATTCAAGTGTGTGTAGCAGTGTTGTGTAGCAGGGTGGGGGGCTATGTAGTGGCATGTGTGGTGCAGATTGTATAGCAGAATGTGTGTGGCTTGTGTAAAGGTGTTTGTGTGTAGCATGTTGTGTAATGGTGGGGGTTGTGTAGAGGTGTGGGAGGATTGTATAACTGGTATGTGTGGAACAGGTTGTAAGTGGGGTGGTGTAGCAGGGTGTGTGGGGGTTTAGTGAACTGTGTAGCAGGGGCTTGTGTAGTGGGTTTCGTAGCACAGTGTGGTGCAACAGGGCATGTGGGAGTTGTGTAGTGAATTGTGTTGTGTGGTGTATAGAGAGGTGTGGGGAGTTGTATAAGCAGATTGTGTAGTGAGGCCATGTGTACTGGGAGGGTGCATGTAGCGGTGTTGTATACTGTGGTGTGTAACAGTGTCTGGAAGTTGTGTAACTGGGTATGTGTAGCAGGTTGTGACTGGGTGTGTGTTTGTGTAGACACGTGTGTGTAGAAGTGTGTGTAGTGGGGTGTGTATGTAGTAAGTTGTGTAGAAGTATTGTGTAGCAGAGCATGTGTTTAGTTGTTTGTGGGGGTTATGTAACAGGTTATGTAGTGGGGTGTGTAACAGTCAGAGGGTTATGTAGTGGTTGTGCAGAATGAGATGTGTAGTGAGGGGTGCGTATAGCGAAGGGTGGAGTGGAGTGTGGGAGTTGTGTAGCCAGTTATGTAGCAGTATTGTGTAGCGGGGTGTATGTGGAATGAGCAGTGTAGCTGTGTGTATAAGGGAGGGTGTTTGCAGAGCAGTGTGGGGAGTTGTGTAGTAATGTATGTGTGCAAAGCGCTATATGTGTGTAGCATGTTGTGGAGTGGGGTATATGTGGAGAGGGGTGTGGAGCTGTGTGTGTATAGCGGATTGAGTGCCATGAGGGTTATGTAGTAGTTTGTGGGAGATGTGTAGCAGGTTGTGTAGCACTTTATGCACTGGTGGGGGTTGTGTAGTTGGGTGTGTAGTGCTGTGTGTTTAGTGGTATTGTGTAGCAGTGTGTGGGGATGGTTGTGTAGCAGTGTGGGGTATGTATGCATAGCAGTGTGTGCATGTAAAGGTTTGTAGGGGTTGTGTAGCAGGAGGTGTGTGTGTAGTGGGTTATGGCGGTTGTGTAGCAGTGTGTGTATAGCGGGTTGTGTAGCAGGCTGAGTTTCCCTTCCCCCACCCCTTCCTACAGCCGGGGGCCCCGCCCCCGAGCCTGGCCGGG